TCGGGCTCGGGTTTATAGCTAAACTAAAACTATATGCAGGCTACGCTGCTTTCATAGACGCACGCACACACATTATTGCACACGACAACACAGCACGGAAACTTTTATTAGTAAAATAGCTTCGACAGGCTACTGACTCGCAACGTTATATTTCTCTGCAATGAAGGGGGTAAAATCGCTGTTTTTGAAGGAACTAAGCCGAAATTGCTTGTAGAGAGAGACGCGCAGACGCAGGTTCACACATGCAACTTTCATCTCTCTCGCTCTCTCTCTCTCTCTCTATCTCTCTGGTGCGCGCGCGCTAGTTCAAATAAATGATATAATTAATTAATTCAAATAATACGATCTTACCGCACTGCATCTCTGTGTCTGATTTAAAGCAGGCCGAATGCTAACGAGCCTTAACTGACGAAAATGACCATAATTTGCACGATGGAAGAACTATTGTCTTGTAGTATACAACCATTCAAAAACTCGGCAGAATTTATGTGACCGAGGCACCTGATGTTCATAAACTTTCATAACTGGTAAGTGTTTTTTCTTTTGCCTTGTAAACTGGTTGTGCCTTAATGATTCTGTTTCTTTACATGTATTTGCTTACTGACCGAAAAAAAAAGATTTCGGGTTCGGGCTCTAAATTTAACTGTGCCGCTCGGGTCGGGTCGGGTCAGACGATCTCGGGTACGGGCCGGGTTCGGGGTTCGGGGTTCGGGCTTCACTTTAAAGCCCGTACAGACCTCTAACTCGGGGTAGTTCCTAGAGTACTTGGGGTGGTTGCCAGGGCGGTTGCTAGGGTACCCAGGGTGGTTGATATGCGGTTGCTAGGGTACTTGGGGTGGTTGTTAGGGTGGTTACTAGGGTACCCAGGGTGGTTGCTAGGGTGTTGCTATGCGGTTGCTAGGTTACTTGGGGTGGTTGCTAGGTTGTAGCTACGGTGTTCTGGGAGGTTGCTATATGATAGATAGATAGACAGACAGACAGAGTCAGATTATAGATAGATAGATAGATAGATAGATAGATTAGACATTTTAGATATATTGATTGATAGACAGATTATACATATTAAATAGAGTGGAAGCCGAAATGAGTTTAAATGTATTAGAAATAGTACATAGAATGGCAGCTTAATTGAGTCTAATGGGCTTCAGTGTGTTTAGATTTGAATTTTGACAGTTTGAGTTTGAATAGTCTTGGCTCATCTGAACATTCCGTCAATGTAAGTCTATGGGATTTTTATGATTTGTAATCTTTTTTTTAGATTTTTAGGAAAACCGTAAGTTCAATCAGTTAGAAATATAGCACACTATATTCTTGGTCTGATCAGTCTGAAGAGCTGGGCTGAGTTTGGAGTTTGTAGAGTTAAAGCTCTAGTAGGAGATAGAATCAGAAATGTTTGTCTCAGAAGAAAAAGTTTAAATAGCATTTCAGTAAGTTGGCTTTCTCAAGCTAACTTAATTAATTATTTATGCATAATTACATGCAAGTAACCCTAAGCCAAACCCAAATCCTAACCCTAACCATATAATAAGTACATATAGTTAATTCATATTACTCAGTACTTATGTGTATAATTACATTGTAACAAGGACACCTTAAAGGGGTCATATGATGCGATTTCATTTTTTCCTTTCATGCCTCGTTTGTAATGGGTTTTAATGTTTTTGAATCATCGCTTCGGCCGGGACACGGCATCAACAGTATGGTGAGGGGTGTAACATTTCCGTCTCACGCTTGAGGTATTCGGCTAATCACAACGCACTGGATAGCTGGCTAATCAGAGCACACCTCGCTTTTCAGACCGATTAGTTTTGTAAAAATCGACGCGTTTCAAAAAGGCGGGGCATAGAGGAGAATACAGTATGTACAGTATGTGGAAAATAATGTGTTTTTTTAACTTTAAACCGCATAAACACATTTCATTACACCAAATACACAAAATAATGTTCTTTTTAGCAGCATCATATGACCCCTTTAAAATAAAGTGTAACCGAAAATCTCATTATCACTTGTAATCAGCAGGAAAAATTTCGAACTTTTAATACAAGCATAGGAATTTTGCTTTAAGGGGTCTTCAGAAATGGTGAGTGTGTGAGGACTTTTTACTTGAAAATGTGCTTGGCCCATAACAAAATGAAACTCATAACAAATGTCTACATAATCTTACCTTGACGTATTTTGACATCCCATACAACTTCTTTGTGCTGTTGCGCCATCAGCTGAAGGTTGAAGTCCTCTTTTGGAGAATCAACGAATACTTCAAAAAAATTTGGTTTTATGGGCTTGTATTTGAGCTGTATCTTCTAATGGAGAGAAGAAAACCGTTTAGAAGGTACAATTACAATATGATTTGATTCAGGAGTATATAGATCAATACTGATATTATTATATGATGTACCTATTTTACACAACTAGCTACATTTTTGTAACTCCCAAATGCAACTAAAACATATAACATGATCATTTATCTGAAATTTGCACATCCTGTACCACATTTGGAACATAAGCAACAAATATAAAGGCCTACGCTTAATACAATACAATACAATACAATTTTATTTATATAGCACACACTGTTAAAAAATATATATTTTACAGGTAATTGTCTGTATTTTTTTTTTTACAAAATTTTCCCTTTTTTTCATTATACGATGAAATACCTGTTGTTTTACATATATTTTCTGTATTTTAAAGTTCCACCATTAAATTTACAGATAATTTCTTGTATTTCGGTATTACATCAAGTTTCTGTTTTTTAAACGGAAATGTTCTGTATTTTCAAAGAGTAATGTGTAATTTTACATAAAATGTTATTTAATATTTAGAGATTATTCCTGTAAAAATAGGGAAACATTTTTTTTAACCACAAATCATTCAGTCAGTGTTTTTTTTTTAGCCTACCATTGAATATAATTAATCATGTGAGGTTTTTAAGGTCAGATAATAGTATTTGTACATACAGTTACATGTACTGTAAATTATGCATTGTTTCTTTGGTCCCACTTTATATTAAGTGGCCCTAATACCTGTGTGCTTACATAGTAACTAGATGTGTACGTACTATGTAACCACAGTGTAAGTACACATTGATACATAGTATCTAGAACTGTAATATTTCTGCAACTACACACATGAAACAACCCCCCGAATGGTTTGTGTAAGTACAAATGTGTAACAGGACATATATAACTACATTTTGTAACAACAATATGTATAAGAGTAATTGGAACAATTTGATCCAGGGGGTGGAAACGGGTAGGTTTAGTGGTGGAAATTGGATCCAGGGAGTGGAGATGGGTAGGTTTAGGGATATGTAAAGTGGGAGGAGTTGGATCTCAAGTTGGTGGAGTTGGTGCTCCACTGTAATACCAGTGTACTTACATGGTAACTCCTCAGGAACTGTCCACTTAATATAAAGTGTAACATTCTGGACACCAACCACAATTTATATGTAAAGCCTAACTTACTGGCCGCTGCTGTGTAACATCAGAGTAATTACATGGTAAATCCATAGGAATTGTTTACTTAACATAAAGTGTATCACTTTCTTTACCAAAAAGCGTTGTTACCAATGTCCTGCTACACATTTTTATTTACACATACCATGCAGTGGGTTGTTACATGTGTATAGTTACAGAAATATTACAGCTGTAGATACTATGTACCAATGTGTACTTACACGGTGGTTACATACTTTGTACACATCTAGTTACTATGTAAGTGTTACAGAGGAGGCTCCCGTACCGCCTCCTCCGCACCACCAGAGGGAACCGTCTCCCGAATATTAGTCATTCCCATTCGGACTCCAATTCCCATCACCCCTCATGCCTGGGACTGATTGCTCATCCACACCTACACCTCATATACACACACACAGACAGACTCTCTGCAAAGTCTTGATTTGCCCTGGCTGTCATTTCCGAGCGTTATACCCGTGTTTGATTTTCTGTGCATCTGTTCTTGGACTGTTTCCCGATTCTCTGATTGTTATCTGCCTGCCCTGACTTGGATTGTTTCACCTGGACCCTGTTTGCTAGCCGCCTGCCCCGATCTCTCGTCTGGTTCACGACTCTGTCTCTGCTGTTCTGCCTTGCCGGTATTTGACCTAGTATTGTCTGACTACTCTAAATAAAAGCTGCAAATGGATCCACACGCTTCTGACTTGTCACAACAGAAAGTACACAGGTATTAGGGCCACTTAATATAAAGTGGGACCGTTTCTTTTACTACTCTTTTAACCTTGTCTTGCAAGTAAATGCTCATTTTAATCATTATTTGGTAAATTATTTGTTTTCCGTGATGGTGTAGGGTTATGCTGCGCTCCAGACAACTCGGATTTAGGATATTTCCCACTTCAACCTGGAAATAATTGATGGAATGTCGCTCTTTTAATGTTTACAGATTAGTAAAAACATTAGTAAAATGTTTTAATTAATGTTTTAATGTTACCAAGTATCCTACTTTTAATGTTACTAAATCCAGACGTTACTTCCGGGTTTGTGGTGGGAAATATTCTACATCCAAGTTGTCTGGAAGGAAGCATTATTTTTTATTTTTTTGATTTGTTTGTTTGTTTGTTCATTTTTTTGGAATGCAGCATTAGTGTAATGTGTGTGTGTGTGTGTGTGTGTGTGTGTGTGTGTCTGTGCGCGCGCAGGCATGATGACGCAGATTCAAATTTGCCGCCAATTTAGCTCCGCCCACGATGGTTGGCTGAGCTGTTTCTGTACCGTACGACACGACAGCGATGGAACGGCGCGCAAATTATTTGAATTTATTTCAGGCTATCCATTCGGAAATGTGTGAGATAATAACGCGCTCTTTCTTCAGTGAGCATGTTTCGCCAACTACAACACATTTTACTACAGCAGCCATCATGCCAACCGACTGAGGTAAGTCTTTCATACAACATATTTTATATAGTGTGGCTGCACATTTGTGTTAAGTGTAGTTTCGAAGCTAAAATGAGCATTTCTAAATGGTGTTCAGTCACATAACTGGCGTCGATAGCTGAAGGGCTAAACACTGAAAACTGCAGCACGTTTGTAAGAAAGATCAGTTGACCTCCAAAGACTAAAAACAAGCTTTAGTAAACATGTTTTTCATATCAAAGTTCGTTCAAGTGTAAGGTTATATAAAGTCTTTGCTCATCTGGAAGTACGCGCCAGCTTTTCAAACTCTTAAATGGCGGGTCATTTTGAAACGCTGAACGTGGCTAACTGTAAGTTACTCTAGGCTGTAAGTTACACCTTATATTGATTATGAATATGAACGCAACATGGTAAATCGCAAGGTAGGCGCTTTTTCCCCCTTTCATATTCTCCTGTACATGTATATACAGGTGCATCTCAATAAATTAGAATGTCGTGGAAAAGTTCATTTATTTCAGTAATTCAACTCAAATTGTGAAACTTGTGTATTAAATAAATTCAATGCACACAGACTGAAGTAGTTTAAGTCTTTGGTTCTTTTAATTGTGATGACACCCCAGGAGTTTGAAAAGTGCCCGTCAAATGCCGGCTCGCTCTGTTTCTCCATCGGCGGCGCCTTTGTCTATTTTTAATAGACTTTTGGTGAAAAATAAATGTAGCGAAGTTGAATAAGTTTTTGAGAAACAGAACTTAAAACAACACACATCCTACTAACAACAAAGACTACCCCACCCTCTCAAAGATTAAAGACAAGAAGTAGTTTTTAACTTCAACTTTAAAAGCATTTAAAGATGAGACCTCTCTAAGTTCCTGAGGAAGACTATTCCAGAGTTTTGGCCGCGCAACAGCAAAGGCCTGATCCCCTTTTAACTTTAAATGAGTACGAGGGACAGTAAGCAATAACTTATTATTGGATCTTAGAGACCTAGGTGCTTGACGAACAGCAACACGCTCAGACACGTAAGCAGGGGCCATCCCATGCACTGCTTTAAAAACATACAAAAGAGTTTTATATTTTATCCTGTAGTTCACTGGTAGCCGAACAGCAACGAGCTCAGACACGTAAGCAGGGGCCAACCCATGCACTGCTTTAAAAACATACAGAAGAGTTTTATATTTTATCCTGTAGTTCACTGGTAGCCACTTGAGAGAAGCTAAATTAGGAGAGATATGATGACTTTTCTTAGCACCCACTAGCAGCCTAGCTGCTGCATTCTGAACTAATTGCAAGCGTGAGATAGTGGTCTGACAGGACTCCACATACAACACATTGCAATAATCCAAACGAGACAAAACAAAGGCATTAATAACCTTCTCTAAGTCTTTTCTTGACAGAATAGGCTTTAGTCGAGCAATAGACCTAATCTGGAAAAAACAAGTCTTTACTACAGCATTAATCTGCTTGTCAAATTTCAGCTCTGGGTCAAACACCACACCTAAGTTCCTTATTTGGTCACGGCAGTAATCGGACCATGAGCCCAAATATGTGGACATATCTAAGCATCCTCTGGCAGGGCCAAAAAACATAATCTCAGTTTTACTCTGGTTCAGCTGAAGCAGATTTTGAGTCATCCAGCTCTTAACCTCCTCTAGGCATGCAAAAAGCAAATTAGAACCATTGTTCTCTCCCACTCTCATAGGTAAGTAGATCTGTATATCATCCGCATACAAATGGTACGACATGCCGTATTTTTTAAAAATTGAGCCCAGGGGCAACATATACAATGAAAATAAAATAGGGCCAATAACATAACCCTGGGGGACCCCACAAGTAACAGGCGCTGCCGTTGAAACAAAGTTACCATACTTTACAGAGGATGATCTATGTGACAGATAAGACTTAAACCACTCTAAAACCGTCCCACGAATTCCAATTAAATGGGATAACCGCTTTATAAGAATCACGTGGTCTATTGTGTCAAAAGCTGCACTTAAGTCCAATAAGATCAGAGCTGCCGCGTTACCTGCATCTCTGATTATACGGAGGTCATTAACATAGGTCATTTTATACTCAAGAGAGTAGAAAAAATTTAAAAATGTACTCAAGTACTGTAACGAAAATATTTGTAATTAGTTACTTTCCACCTCTAGATGGAGGAGGCTGCAGTGGCGGCTGCGCGAACTACAGATGTAGTTCACGTGGTTTCCTGTGCTGTAAACAAAAACAAAACTTGGTTCTCGCGAGACTACACTCTTCTCCCCGGAGCTTACAATGCGCCTCCGCTACGCCTACTAATACTCGTGTAATACGCTCGAGCGCCTTGTCGTGAACGCGCCTGCTTGAGCGACCGGAAGCTGGAGATTACAGTTTATACATTTTTAAAAATCGACATTTTTCTTACACTAACCCATAGTTTAGCTTCAGAAGGCCTTTATTAACACACCAGAGCTGTGTAGTAGTTTTATGATGGATGGATGGAGCCAGGACAATTTTTAATATAACTCCGATTGGATTCGTCTGAAAGAAGAATGTCAGATACACCTTAGATGCCCTGAGGGGGAGTAAATCATGGGCTAATTTTCATTTTTAGGTGAACTATCCCTTTAAGACAGCTTAAGCATGCATTTTAGTCTGGGACTAGGCTTAAGCCTTGTTTGTGAAACCGGGTATTTAAGTGTTTTTTAGGGACCTGTGGGGACCATGTATATGAAATTAGCTGTCTCATTTTGAAGGTTGTACCCTTCTTAGTTTGCATTTTTCAGCCTCTTACATCATCAAGGCTCTATCATTTAAAAAAGTAACCATTATAAAAGTGTTATTGCTTGAGATGTTTCTTCCTACATTCAAATATACTGGTTACTTTTTTTTCTCTGAAATGAGGCAGCCTCAATGACATATGCAGCCGATAACTGCAACCTCTGGAAGATACAACCTTCAGAATTACACAGCAATTCACAGCAATTGACTTGACTACTGGAAAATACACAGTTTACAACAGATTGAGAAACACTGATGAGAGAAATAGGCCACAAACACAACTATAAACTATAATATTTTGTAATTACAATCAATAAAGCACCTTGGGTATGACTTCAGAATTAGAGTCAGATTTCCTCATTTTCTCCAGTGTCCTCAGTGAAAACCAAGTTTTCGTCTGTAGTGAAGATTCCGGTCCTGGCTTTGTGATAGCCTTGCTATCAGCCTCATTTTCTTGAACAGCCTACATAAAGGAATGTTCACACATTATATATTATATATAAAAGCACAGACACTTGAAAAGCAGAAACGTGTTATCTTTAGTTTTACTATTCATTTCAATATTACAAACCTCTATCATTTTTTTATCACTTGGAATCAAGTACACATGAAGTGTCAGGTGTGATTTCAAAGTTTGATAGATAAGTGTTTCACAATGATAATTCACAGAGAAGCCACTCCTCAAAAAAACACCTTTAGGGGAAAAGGTGTGGTCCAGAAGTTTGGCATGGAATCTAGTTAACTTGCATTTCTCAAATGCAATTCCACTGTCTTCAAAATGAAGAATTCTCACTTCATCTTTAATGAGAAATCCACCTGCAATGTATTAAAATAATTAAATTAAATGAATTAACTGATTATTAGATGCAAATGAAACAAGAATAATAATGCATATTTTTTAAAGGGTCATGAATTGAGAAATCATGAGTAAAAAATTACTTTTTTGTAAACCATTCACAATTTGACAGATGTAACCTGAATCCCTGAGAAGACGTAATCCATTCTATTAGCTCAGCAAGGTCTGTGCCTGTGTTTCACAGCCTTGATAGGCAGACATTTTCTTCGGGATGGCGGCTTTGGTTCGCATAGTGTCCACTCAAAAGGCAACCGACTTTATGGAAACATATATAACTGACAGTAATGATGCAACATCTGTGATTGTTTTGATATGTAAGCACTCAGTCAGACATTCTTTGTCACAGAATTATTTGTTGTTTTTGTGTCAGCAAACTAAATGGTCAACCTCACATTATTACTCTTAGTAGAATGGAAATCATCTGTTATTTAAATTGTGATTAAATTATATACAACAAGCTAAAGGGAACAAATAATGTTCCCTTTAAAACAGCCAGAATAGTCTATCACATAGTGTGTTGTCTACACCACTCAATGAATCTCTTACTAGGGCCAGAGCACCGCGGTGCGGGGACTCTCTTGGATTTGCTCCATTTATTATTATTATTAGGGCCCGAGGACAGTGGTACGAGGATCCTCTTGGAATTGCTCCGTTTATTATTAGGGCCCGAGCAACACAGTGCAAGGACCCTATTGGAATTGTTCCATTTATCAGGGCCCTATAGTCAGTGCCGATCCTATACTTCTGGGGGTCCTACACAAAACTGTTGCGGGGGTGGGGTGGGGGTGATTAATGAATTACTAATTTACTAATTACTAATTTAATAAATGCATTAACTAACATGAACTAAAAATTAACAATATGTTGTCATTGACTGTTTCGGATGCTAAAGAGTGGGCGTGCTCTGGCAAAGAGCCCGAAACCCCGCCTCTGACACAGACAACACAGCCCAGCATGGACAGCGAGCTGATCCGAGTTCTATCCAAGGCTGTGGAGGATCTCGGTCTAGCTTGGTCGGCTCCGAAAGAGCCCGCTCACGGCCTTCTTGACGAGTGGTAGCTACCTGAAGGGACGCCATCAACATTCCTCCTGCCAACGGCCCTTGCTGGCAACTCACCCAGTGGTGTAATGTAACAAAGTAATAATACTTCGTTCCATAGTTTAGCTTCAGAAGGCCTTTATTAACACACCAGAGCCGTGTAGTAGTTTTATGATGGATGGATGGAGCCAGGACAATTTTTAATATAACTCCGATTGGATTCGTCTGAAAGAAGAATGTCAGATACACCTTAGATGCCCTGAGGGGGAGTAAATCATGGGCTAATTTTCATTTTTAGGTGAACTATCCCTTTAAGACAGCTTAAGCATGCATTTTAGTCTGGGACTAGGCTTAAGCCTTGTTTGTGAAACCGGGTATTTAAGTGTTTTTTAGGGACCTGTGGGGACCATGTATATGAAATTAGCTGTCTCATTTTGAAGGTTGTACCCTTCTTAGTTTGCATTTTTCAGCCTCTTACATCATCAAGGCTCTATCATTTAAAAAAGTAACCATTATAAAAGTGTTATTGCTTGAGATGTTTCTTCCTACATTCAAATATACTGGTTACTTTTTTTTCTCTGAAATGAGGCAGCCTCAATGACATATGCAGCCGATAACTGCAACCTCTGGAAGATACAACCTTCAGAATTACACAGCAATTCACAGCAATTGACTTGACTACTGGAAAATACACAGTTTACAACAGATTGAGAAACACTGATGAGAGAAATAGGCCACAAACACAACTATAAACTATAATATTTTGTAATTACAATCAATAAAGCACCTTGGGTATGACTTCAGAATTAGAGTCAGATTTCCTCATTTTCTCCAGTGTCCTCAGTGAAAACCAAGTTTTCGTCTGTAGTGAAGATTCCGGTCCTGGCTTTGTGATAGCCTTGCTATCAGCCTCATTTTCTTGAACAGCCTACATAAAGGAATGTTCACACATTATATATTATATATAAAAGCACAGACACTTGAAAAGCAGAAACGTGTTATCTTTAGTTTTACTATTCATTTCAATATTACAAACCTCTATCATTTTTTTATCACTTGGAATCAAGTACACATGAAGTGTCAGGTGTGATTTCAAAGTTTGATAGATAAGTGTTTCACAATGATAATTCACAGAGAAGCCACTCCTCAAAAAAACACCTTTAGGGGAAAAGGTGTGGTCCAGAAGTTTGGCATGGAATCTAGTTAACTTGCATTTCTCAAATGCAATTCCACTGTCTTCAAAATGAAGAATTCTCACTTCATCTTTAATGAGAAATCCACCTGCAATGTATTAAAATAATTAAATTAAATGAATTAACTGATTATTAGATGCAAATGAAACAAGAATAATAATGCATATTTTTTAAAGGGTCATGAATTGAGAAATCATGAGTAAAAAATTACTTTTTTGTAAACCATTCACAATTTGACAGATGTAACCTGAATCCCTGAGAAGACGTAATCCATTCTATTAGCTCAGCAAGGTCTGTGCCTGTGTTTCACAGCCTTGATAGGCAGACATTTTCTTCGGGATGGCGGCTTTGGTTCGCATAGTGTCCACTCAAAAGGCAACCGACTTTATGGAAACATATATAACTGACAGTAATGATGCAACATCTGTGATTGTTTTGATATGTAAGCACTCAGTCAGACATTCTTTGTCACAGAATTATTTGTTGTTTTTGTGTCAGCAAACTAAATGGTCAACCTCACATTATTACTCTTAGTAGAATGGAAATCATCTGTTATTTAAATTGTGATTAAATTATATACAACAAGCTAAAGGGAACAAATAATGTTCCCTTTAAAACAGTCTATCACATCTATCACATAGTGTGTTGTCTACACCACTCAATGAATCTCTTACTAGGGCCAGAGCACCGGACTCTCTTGACTCTCTTGGATTTGCTCCATTTATTATTATTATTAGGGCCCGAGGACAGTGGTACGAGGATCCTCTTGGAATTGCTCCGTTTATTATTAGGGCCCGAGCAACACAGTGCAAGGACCCTATTGGAATTGTTCCATTTATCAGGGCCCTATAGTCAGTGCCGATCCTATACTTCTGGGGGTCCTACACAAAACTGTTGCGGGGGTGGGGTGGGGGTGATTAATGAATTACTAATTTACTAATTACTAATTTAATAAATGCATTAACTAACATGAACTAAAAATTAACAATATGTTGTCATTGACTGTTTCGGATGCTAAAGAGTGAGCGTGCTCTGGCAAAGAGCCCGAAACCCCGCCTCTGACACAGACAACACAGCCCAGCATGGACAGCGAGCTGATCCGAGTTCTATCCAAGGCTGTGGAGGATCTCGGTCTAGCTTGGTCGGCTCCGAAAGAGCCCGCTCACGGCCTTCTTGACGAGTGGTAGCTACCTGAAGGGACGCCATCAACATTCCTCCTGCCAACGGCCCTTGCTGGCAACTCACCCAGTGGTGTAATGTAACAAAGTAATAATACTTCGTTACAGTACTTAAGTTTTTTTTTGTGAGAATCTGTACTTTACTTAAGTTTTTATATTTCTGTCAGCTTTCACTTTTACTCCACTATATTTCCTATTCAAAATTTATACTTTTACTCCGATACATTTCCCCGAAGCATATTCATTACTTACTATAAAATAATGTCGGAACACAGACTGCAAGAAAGCAGGTTTGACGAATCAGTGGTCTGGCGCTTGCAAATTAGACACTGTGCATTCGCGCATGTGCAAATAAGTGCTCGCACAACCACGGTTGATTTCATTTTCCACTCAAGTCGAGGCTGGGGTGTGCGATATATATCACCTGCACTAATAAAGTAAGTGTTTTTTTAACGATGTGCGATCTGACATTATCGAGCATATCACAAAAACCAAACAGAAACACACCAGAGAGTGCACGCATACACTGTGTGATTTATCCATTAAAATGCATTTAGAATGGCCATAAAATTCAGGGTATTTTTTTTTATTTATGTGGCTTTCAAGTATTTCATACACTACTGAACTTACCAAGACATGGCACACCCCTTATTTGGCCCGTGTTAATCCCACTACTCCTCTGCTCTCACCACTGTTGACAGCTGGAGTACCACGTTTGGCTGAATCTGACAGAGATCAGGGACGCTGACAGGGTCGCCTTCCTAGACTCGCCAATCTCTCCTAAAGGACTGTTTGGACCTGCCGTGGATGGGTTTGTCGAGCAGTTTACAGCGGCACAGAAGTCACCGTAGGCAATGCGTCAGGCCCATCATCGCTGAATGGAGTGTCACCAGCTCCATTCAAGCTGGGCCTGTCCTTCTCGCTCTGTGCGTGCCCAAGCAAACTACCGCTGTGATAGCGGACCCACATACTTAAAAAAGCATTTCTCCTCTCCTCACTATCACAGATGTCAGAATGTCAGTTCTATTAAAAAAACTAGAATCACTTGCCATCCGGCTTCAGGATTGGAAAGCTATCCCAAATGTGCCAAGTTGGGTTCTAAAAACCATAGAATGAGGTTACTCGCATCAGTTCACTCGCAGTCCACCTCGCTTCAGGGGTGTTATTCAAATTCGGTACTGGACAACAATGCTTATGTTCTCCGGTCAGAATTACAAACACTGCTTGCAAAAGGAGCCATGTAAACGGTTACTCTAGTGAACAGTGAGTCAGGTTAAAAGCACGTGCGGCGGAGCCAGCGTCAGCTTTCTGTCATTCAGCGAAGCGCTCTGTGTGTGTCAGTCATATTTATTGTTGTCTGTCAATTGTGAAAGTTTATAAGCTCCAGCTATGTCTAAGCTCATGCAAAGACAAAGCATTTCAAGGGCGAGAGCAAGCTACGTTGTAGGTTGTGTGTTCCTCCCTGCAAAAAGCCACGTTATATCACGAGTGGTGATACACACAGCCTGTGCGTGGTTTGCTTGGGAGCGAAGCACAGTTGTTACTGCCTTGCTTCGCTCTCAGAGGGCTCTCTTTGAGGAGGGAGCCTTCACTAGCGTTCCTCGCGGTGCCAGCCCCGCTTTCTCCGAGGCGGAGCGGCGGCTGTGCTCGTGGGTTTCGCGTATGGATTTGCTTCCTAATCACCAGATCCGGCGCCCGCTCTCGGGGTTTCGGAAGCCCGCGCTGCGGTCCTTCCCACCGGAGAGAGGGCGCGACGCTCCGCCTGTCTTTCTCCGAGGAGATTGATACGGAGGGCGTCAATGAGCTCGCCAGTTGCACAAACATCAGTTACACAAGCATATTAGTCCTGATGCTGTGGCTCAGGACCTCGGAGGGCAGGCCCCTCTGGGGAAGAGAGGTTCACACCGCATTACACGGTGCCCGTCTCTCCTCAGTGCCCTCAGGAGGTCGGTCTGCCAACCCTGCCGTGTTCCAGGGCGCAGCGGTCTCCGGCGAGCGTTTCTCTCAGTTACCGCCCGGAAATGTAGCGGTACTAAGAGGCTCGCTACCTCTATGGAGGTAACAAGAGCAGCTAGTTCGGCCGTCCCCTGCCGGTGTGCCGCTTCAGAGCACCGAACTAGCCGTTCTGGGCACACCAGAG